TACGCACAGCCACAAGCGCTTTTCCCCCCAGTTAGCGTCAGGTTTCAGCGCCTGTCCTGGGCGTTAAAAAACAAAAAGAGAGAAACCGCAAATCTGCTCGGCCGCTTTCCGCCGCAGCAGTTCAAACTCTGTCCTGCCGCCTTGGCAAAGACCCCAACTCATCCAAAAAAAGAAAAACACTACCTCCGCCCCCTGCTGCCCGCAACCCAGATGGAAATCCTTTGGACTTCCGAAGCGACGTGCTGAAGTGCTGCTGCTACTCTGTGTATTTCACCTGTTCATGAAAAATAAAATAGGCGTGACGTAATTAAAAACCTCCACTTACTACATTATAGACCTAATTTCTCTTTACTTTTCAGCTGTTATCACTTACTTTAATTGTAGCCTACAAAAACACAATCGACTTGCGTAACGTCGCGATGACGCACAGGTAGGACGTTTCAGGTATATTCAGTTATCATGTTAGGTTGTGCAAAGGCATGCTGGGATTTACAGTTTATGAGCTCGTCAAAATCCGCCTCCTAAAAGAGAGAAACAGATACGTGGTTTAACAGGTTGTGCAACAAAACAAAAGGGTGTTTGTAACCATAAAAACACTTCTACTGTGAAATGCGAACTATTTCATATCGGTGTTTGGAGCATTTAGAAATAACGAGTGGTTTCTAAATGAAAAAGCCTTTGTATGAATTTAAAATTATTATTTTCCATTAAAAAAAACTTAGCTGTTCAATATGAAGACATTTTAATTGAATACCTTGCCTTTATATTAGTTCAAATTTCATTTGATCAGACGATCTCATTGAGATAACTTGTACCTAGGCTGATCAAATATCCCTCTTTGTGAGAGACTGTGCAACATTGAGTCTTTCTCTATCTGTCCCACATTTTGAGTCAATGTTGCTCATTTTCGACTGATTCTGCAGGACACGCACATTCCTCACGCCTGTCTTTTACCCACTGCATATGAAAGAAAGGCTTTTTATTCAAGTCAGAAGAAGGTCAGCCTGTCTAATGGCGTACTCATCATCAGGGAAAGTTAAAGGGACCAAAAAGTCAAAACCTCTGCAGAGCTGAATAAAACATATTGTTATTGCTGAATATAATGAAAGCTCACACAAATGAAAAAGTAATGACATATGCTGAGAGTTTTTTTTCTCCTTTTCTTGCTTGAGTCACTTTTAAATTTTGCATAGGAGGAAAATGCAGTGTGTAGTGACACGGTATATGGGTCATATTTGGATTTAAAAAAAACTGCTAAAATGAGCAGATATTGTTAAAATAAAAAAGGTATGCCAATTTATGGATACCTCCAAACTGAAAGCTAAAAAGAAGCCTGCTACCAGGCAGAAGAGCAGAGGAAATAACTGTGAAATAAAATTCACACATTCTGAATTTTTATTTCATATCTCTTAGGAGTGTCGACGTGTCCCATCTTGTCTCACACAAACACAGTGCTTGCCCCACATTTAGTTTGTTGGGATATAGTCACCCTACTTATACCTGAAAAGAAAAACAGTATAAACAATACATTGTTACAAAGATCACAGGATTCCATAATAGTTTTAAACTCTCTAAAGGAATGATGGAGTCCAGTTTCACAACAGTAAATGTATATTTACTGGTTTACTGGAAGGCTTAAATGACAGCTTTCATGATAAACAGCAGATCTTTATAAATTGGACTATGGCATGGAGGGGTTGGGTGCTGGAGTCTTGTTTAGGCTGCATGACCATACAGAATATCTTCATAGTTGAGGAGAGACATGACGGCTGACTTAACAATACCTTAAAAGGTTGGAGAAGACAGACATCCTTTTATTCAATCCAAGAAGTTTAATTTTTAACTTTCTCAGCCAGATGTTGGATATAAATCTCAAATGAAAGTCTGCTGTTGTAGCTCTTGAGCTAAATTCCTGCTTTAGCCAGGGCCGCTATAGACAAAAGATTGCTATGTGCGTCTGCAGTGATTTATATTTGGCATGGGAAGCCACAGCGAGAGCCAGTGCAGAACACTGATTCAGGCAGATACAGCCATGAAAGGAGGAAATGGAAGTGTGGGTTGCAAAGTGGCTCGCAGATACACCGTAACCATGTTCAAGAAACAAGCTAAATAGCACACCCTAATTCAGATTTGCCAGTGAGATGTGTAGAAAGGTGTCAGCTGAGCCACTGACTGATGTGGGCTGGCACCGACTTCACGGCCTGACTGAACTAATACAAAGCTCCATGTTTTTGTTGGACTCAGCAGGAATAAGGCTGATGCCATTTAAAGTTTTAATTGCAGGATGGTCAGTGTGGAGAAAACCATAATTATACTTATACAATAATTCTTTTCTGCATTTAAATCAAGTCTGTGATTAAAGGGTGCTAGTTGGAAAGTATCAAAAGCCAAATGAAGGTAAGTCAGAGCCTGAAGTGAGCCTAGTGACTGAAAGACACTAAAATATTGATTAGTTTGATTTCTTTTACGTTTCCTTTATTGTAAATATTATTTTATGTTATTTGTATCACTCTTAAAGCATAAAAACAATTTCCTCCAGAATGTCTAATTTGTGAGATGTTTTCTGGATGAAAAGCCACTGGCATTATTTCCACAAACCAAGTGTATCTCCTCTTGGTTGAGCGCCTCAATAACTCAACATGTGGAATAAAGTCCATGTGTTTTCAAACCTTCAGCATCCGTACAGAGCTCTGAAAGTTAGATCAAACAGAGCTTCTATGGGTGATGTCCAGAGTGATGCCCAAACTCCTCGGGAACACTGAGGATTGCTGATTAGAGATTTACTGTTTTTTATGTGAAGGTTTGCAGTCTTTGGTCAGATCTGAGGGTGGCTGGATGGTAACCATGTGAGTTATTTGTTTCTGAGTGGCTGTGGCCTCATTTCACCGCCTCAGTGAACCGTGACTATGTGCTGACCACGCTCTGTCATCAGGCAGCACACATTATGTGGCAGCGGTAATACAGACATCAAATGCACAAGTAGGGCTGCTTTCTTTCATCTGTGCAACATGTCTAAAATTAGAAACATCCTCTTTCAGGGTGAACTTGAAAAAGTAGTTCATGTATTTGTTGCTTTGAGGCAGGACTATCATAATTCACTATCGTTAGACTGTCCCAAAAACTCCCTGAAAAGCCTTTAGTTAATCCAAAACACCACAGAGCTCATATGTCTCTTCACTCAACTTTAAATCCAGAATTGGATTTAAAATCCTTCATCATAGATACAAAGGCGCGAATGTTCAGGCCCCATCATATCTTAATGTGTTCATAGTATGATTAACGATAAAGACAGACGGCCACCTACAGGAGCTTTTATAACATCCCATTCTAAATCAGTCCTGTGTTTACAGCTGTGACAGTTTCCACTCTTCTGGGAAGGCTTTCCACATAATTTCAGATTGTGTCTGTGGAAAGTTTTGCATATTCATCCAGAAGTGGATGTGTAAGGTCAGACATCTCTGTTCTAGTTCATCCCAGAGGTGTGTGATAGAGCTGAGGTCAGGGCTCTATGCAGGCCAATCAAGTTCCACCAAGCTCATTCAGCCCTGCTTTTATGATCCCTGCTTTGTGCAGTGGGGCACAGTCATGCTGCAACAGAAAAAGGGGTTTCCACAACGTATTCCCACAAAGTTAAAAGCATATAATTATCACAAAAAAATTAAGCTCATGCAATAAGATTTCCTTTCATTGGATCTAACAGGCCCAGACCGAACCTGAGAAAACTATGATTAAGAGGTGTGACTTAATACTTTTATCCATATAGTGCATTACCAACTTCACTCTCAGAGTGCAAGGGTACTTCGACCCATCCCATGTGGCCAATCCCTTAGACTGCAGTCTTCTCTGAGTCAAAGCTCATTTAAAATGGGCTGAGGTGAAGTGAAAAACTGTTCTGTGACCCGACGAATCAAAACTAGAAATTCCTTTTGAGAAACATGGATGCTGCCTTCAGCTTGTTATCAGCACTTGGTTCCAAAGCTGACAGAGTGCATTAATGTCTATAGAATTGGCAGCTTTTACTTCTGGAAAGACATCAGTGCTGAAAGGGATACACAAGTTTTAGAGCAACATATGCCCTCATCCGGTCGTCTTTTTTAAGGAAGGTCGTTCACATTTCAGCAACAACGCTAAAATACATTCATGACAACAGCAAGGCCTCCCAGTAGAAAAGTCCAGTCGCTGCCTACAGTCCAGATCTTTCACCAAATCAAGATTTTGGAGAATCATGGGAAGAAATGTGTGAAAATATTTTTTCTTAAAATTGTGTTTCTCAGTTTAAACATTTAACGTTTTCTATTGTGATTTTATGAAATTTGCAAATCACTGCATTGTTTGTTTTTTTTTCCATAGAATTACGTATTTTTCAGTATCTGCATTGTGTAAAGCATCTTGAAACGAGTGGTTAAGGACCGTTTTTTTTGTGTGTTTCTTTGTTTTTTTAAATCAGCAGGCACTATTTAATAAAACTTAATAAAATGAAATTAAAAACCACGCTTTTGCCACATTGTTATTTATTAAATAAAGCAAATATTTTAACTCAGACAGTGATTGAAAGATTGTGAATAATTGTAACAATTCACCTTTAATGCTCCCCATACAAAGACAGGAAAAGCAACGGACTTTATGTTCACGTGACTTCTTGGATTGTCTCCTGAAGTAGGGAAACAAAAAAAATCCCATCTTCTCCAACACATTCCTTATAAACAGAAACAGGAGTAGCTGCAGATATGCTGTAGTTTGTGGAATCAGACAATGAGACAATTAACAGCCCTTACATTAGTTATAGCTTTTGAGGCACTATTCTAGTATAGACCAAACACACCTTCAGTGACCTCATTCAATGCACACACACACACACACACACGCACGCGCAGACACACACACACACACACTTGGTGCAAATTCAGGTAGTTAAAACTATTCGACCACTCACAGATCGTTTAAAAGATATATTTTTAGGACTGATTTTTTTTTTTAAAAAGTGAGATCTACAAATTAAATGGATGAAAATTACTTAAAAACAAAGTACATTCAACCGTGCTGATGATAATTTTAAGAATGATCGTTAAAACTAAGCTGGTTAAAAATCTAAAAACATAACCGACAATGACATCAACACTGTGTCAATAAGTTAAGGATACTTACAAAATTAACATACCATTTCTACACCTATACGGGGACATGTAGTGTGTGACTTCATGGACAAAAACAGTGCACAACAGAAAATAAACGTTTTCTGTGGAGGAAGAGTAAAGGGATGCTGCAGATTAAGGTCTTAGTGGGTTTTTGGACTTTTTGGATCTATCCTAAACCCTTTAGGCTGGAGCAGTCCATACTGATAAGCACGCTGATTCACCAAAATATTCAAAGCAGGATTTTGCACTCAGTGGACTAGCAGAGAAACCGAATAGCCAGGCCCAGGCTGAGGACTGTATGGACTCTGTCCGGGTCCATGCTCTTAAACCTGAGAGTCCGTGGACGAGTAAAACAGACTCTGGGGCCGTGCTTGCCGTTTTATTAGTGAGCAGTCTGAGCTGGAGCTTCGCCCTGCTGCTTATGCTCTCTCTTCTTCATTGCTTCAATCACTGCCATCTCCTTGGCCTCTTTCTTCTGGTTCCTGGCTTCAAACTGCAGCCTGTTAACAAGAAAAGACCGATTAGTAAACAAAGGATGAAGATACAGATTTATAAATACAGAAAATGAAGACCCAGAGAAGCAACGAGTCCCTGACCTGTTTTCAATGATCCTTTGGACGATGTCATCAGTAGTGAGATTGTTCCCACTATCAATAGCCCTGAATATCCCCCTCTTCTTTGGTTCCTGAGGGGGCAAAAACATAACTGATCAGAATAAAGCAACTAGCAGATATTTTGCTCTATACTGCCACTTCAGGCCAGATGGGTTAATGGTTTAAATCCAAAGTGAAGCACCTATCATTCATCGAATCTAACGATTGTGGCGGACTCATGATTTGATTCAGGACCATGAAAAGTCCTGAATAGATAAACTTTGAAGAAGTGAATCAGATCAGGACATTTTTCCAAAGTTGTCCTTCCTTAACATGTAGCACACAGCAGGAAATAGCCAGCTTTAGATTGATTTATGAGAAAAGTGTTTGGTTTAGATGAGGCAGCTGCCTGTGCAGGGTGTGCACTGCACATGACACTCACAAGCCTGGAATCTACCGCACAAATTGCTGTGGTATTTGCTCATAGCTGCAAAGGTTAAAGTCCATTCAATGTCTGACCTGGCTGCGTCTGATATTTGCATTTCCACATGCACCTTTTGTTTGGTGACCTCTGTAAAAGTCCAGGGCTGTAGTACACGTGTGAAAACAGATCAAGACAAAGTGATTTTTATGCTCATCTTAGCTTTGAGCACATAACTCCTAATGGATGGATCAAATCCCTTTCTCCTGCTTAAATGGATTTGGGCAGCAGCAGTCTAAGCAGAAATGCTAAGACCTTCCTCTCCCTGGCTGCTTCCTCCAGCTCTCCAGGGAGAACAAAGGTGTTCCCAATTCAGCTGAGAGACATAATCTCTCCATCATGTTCTGGGTGTGGCCTTTCCCAAAACGTCTCACCTAAGAGGTATCCAGCACTTACTGGTCAGATGTCTGAACCATGACAGCTCTTTTTAGTGTTGAGGGGTAGCAGCTCTACTGAGTCCCTCCTGAGTGACTCAGCTCCTCAGCCTGTCTCGAAGGGAGAGCTGAGACGCCCTCTCAGAGGAATTTTTGCTGCTCATCTCTGCGATATACTCACTGCCCACATTGGTCAAGGATTATCTCTGACTAACCTCAAACTATTTCTTTCTCTGTTTTATTGTTTTTTTGTCCGTTGCCACGAGTGCTTGTCCAGAAAATGTGAGAAAGGAAAAAAGAATAATCGTAAGGGATGGAGGCTTTGTGGAGACTCTGGATTTAACTAAAGTACTTCCCATCAGGCTGCCTGCCTGCTATCACCAAACCACTTTAAAAAAGGACTTAACTGGATCGCCAGTGAATCCTTGTGCATCTGTGACACAATATCTCCACAGTGTTTATTAACAGTGTACTCACAGCGTAGGGATCCACCCCATCCTTGTCTGGAAGTACCTCAGTCTTCCCATGACACACTAGGTCCACCTGCACATTCAAACACACTCGATTAAACCATGACAAAATACAGAAACATCCTTTTATCTCCTTATTTTTTTTTGTATATAAACAGCTCCTATATAAATCAGATTTATCTGAAACTCAGTGATCACATACAAGGCTATCAAACACATTTTTGAAATGATAATGGTTAACCACTTCAGCATGTTTAACACATCTCATACCACCAGGGGGCGCCACACATTTACAACTCACCTTAAAATGATCCAGCAGGTCTTTGCCTACTGCATAGGGAGCACCAATCACCACCTCTGACACATACTGCAGACACACCGAGACCAGTGAGAGGAAAAGTTATTAAATGATTAACCTTATAATGGCAGTATCACATCTGTGCATTTCTGCTCACACAGTTTAACCAAAAACCTTTTACAGGAGACCTCAAAGGTCAGTATGCTTCCACAGCTCAGTGAACAACCTCTGGTAAAAACTGATGACAGAGCGGAGCGACTTAATGCTTTTATAGACTGTGTAACACTCTCGTAGGTAACACCAACACATGATGCAGAAGGGGCACAGAGACTTATTGTTCCTGACTGATAGCTGATCAGGAGGAATGAATGGCGCTTAGCCAAGTTCAGTGTGTGATTATGCGGGGCAGAAAAAACTTCTCGCTGTTATGAACATTTCTCTTATGCGAACTCACCCGGCAGGCGAGGACGCTCAGGGTCCTCTCGTGGATGTTCATGATCGGATAGTTCTTCCCCTTGTAGCGATTCACTTCCTGAAGAACAGGACGAGATCAGTGATTACCTCGATGCTCTTCCTTTTCAAATATTTATCTCAGATACGGATGTGACAGTAGCAAAACTGCTTTCTTATTTCTTATGCTTCCTCTAAATGTGACAATGAAAAGAGCTGACTGCTGTTCCCGAGTTTGATCAACAAAAATCAACAAAACAAAACAAAAAAAGAAAAAAAAATAGAGGTCAAAAGTTCTAATAGAGATAATGAGATGTGAAATTTACACAGCAAAACACGATTCAATTTATTTATAGGAGCACAATTTCTTCAAAATTGGATGAAATGTTGGGAAGAGTGGCCATCTGAAAATGAGCAGATGGATCAAAATGCACTTTAGTCAATCCTGGTCTTAAATAAGAACCCTTATTAATAAAACTGACTCAGCCAGCAGTTACAAGGCTCATTTTCACGTTCAATTCTCCCCAAAAGTTTGACTACAGTCATTAAGGACTTTAGTTTCCATTACTTCTATTTAATTGTGAGCTTCTGTTAATTTAGCTTGTTCCAAATGTTTCTCCTGAAAGCTGCTGACGCAGCAGGGGGGAAAAGATTTTTCAATCTTGAGATGTACCTGGTCGAAGTGTAGACCTACGATGACATACGGCCGCTCCGCCTGTTTATATACCATCTCTAAGAAGTCAACATGGCCGATGTCTGCAGAGATGCTGTCGTCAAGGAAACAGCTACAACAACATGTTCACCACAGAAATCTCTTTGTTCATAACTCAGCTCTGTTTTTTTTTTTTTTTTTCATGTGATAAGGATACGGAAGAGGTCAAACGCTCCAGCCACATAGATGATGGTGTCTCCAGGCTGAGGCTCCTTTCCTGAGGCAAACTGGATGATTTTCTGGGATGTCTGCAGGAACTGAGAAACTCCTGTCCAGGGACTGTGGCCTTTAGGACCCTTAATGATGACATATAAACAGCACTGAGCGCCTCTGACACATTCCTATCGTCGGGATGATGAGCAAAGACTAGCAAATATCACAAACCCTTGAAACTAAAAGTAAATGACATTTACCTTTCCAAAGTTGTCCGTATGCTGCTGGTAATCTGGGTTATCCTGCAGAGAGGAAAAGATTAGGCTGACAATAAAATAAACAACAGCTATCCACACGCCAAAGAGAACCACGTAAACTCACTATGTTGCTGTGGTGGGCTTTGGTCATGAGAAGCATACGACCCACCAGGTCAGTGGTGGAGACGCCCTGAGTGCGCTTACATTCCCGGTAACGGCCTGCTCGCTTGACCTCTTCATATGTGTCCTTGCCGTCTACCGTCAGCGTGATGTCATCTGGGAAACATAAACATCACATCATGTACTCTGGTTGAGTGATATAATGGATTGGATTTATATAGCGCTTTTCAAGGCACCCAAAGCGCTTTACAATGCCACTATTCATTCACTCTTGCATTCACACACTGGTGGAGGCAGCTACGGTTGTAGCCACAGCTGCCCTGGGGCAGACTGATAGAAGCAAGGCTGCCATATCGCGCCATCGGCCCCTCTGGCCATCACCAGTAGGCGGTAGGTGAAGTGTCTTGCCCAAGGACACAACGACCGGGACAGAGAGTACGGGGATCGAACCGGCTACAGATGCGCTTCCCAACCCCCCTAAATGTTAAAATTTACAACTGTCCATCGTAAGTCCATTAGCAATCAGCTAACGATATATGTGGACGTGTGAAAGTTCAGCAGTTCTCATATTTCTTTGAGATAAAAATGGACAAAACCAGCAAGACAACCTAAAAATTAAGCAGGGAGCAGCCTCTACATCAGCAAACTGGTGGAGATGGCACATAAAAGATGGTGTAGCTCTGATTTCACGAGTGCCTTAACCCTGCACTGCACAACCCAGTGACTTGGGAGGATTCTTTCACAGCGACAATGTGTAACAACAAACGTTTTAGGCTGTGAGATTCAAACGGACTCACCTCCATGAACGCAGAAGTCACAGTTATATTTGTCCAACGTCTCCAGGGTGGTGACGTATGGTGCTCCTTCCACTATCTCATCCACCCACTTGATTGCACGCACCATCTTGTAGCGCTCTTCCTGAGTGAAGACTGGAGGGCCCTTGTGCTTGGAGATCTCAGCTTTAAATTGGGTTTTAGGTAAATAAATGGTTATTAATCAAAAATGTAGATCACAAAGTTACATTTATATTTTATTTCAACCAACACATTTCCAGTAAGGAAATCTTAAACATCCACATTAAACAGCTGATTATAATCAAAGGTCTGCCTCTGATGTTCACAGCTAAAGCAGGAAAAATCTGACAAAGGTTAGCTCCGTGTTTAATCATTGAGCAACATCTTTATTTACTTCTACCATAAAACTTTATTGATTATAATTTAGAGATAAAGTGTTACTGGATGTGACTGAACAGACTAAAGTCTTTCCATAGAAAATCAGCCCCGCCTGACGCCCTCAGAATCAGCTATTAAGCAAAGCTCTGAAATACAAATATCATTCGAGTTATACAGTCTTTAAAACTGCCTTATTTTCCCAGCATTTAGATCCCTTATAACTTCTGAAACAGCGGAGCTATCCGGATCAGATTTCCGGGCTTGGAAAACATATTTAAGCTCAAATACCTTTTCACCGGCTCGAACTGTCATAAGCTAAAGCTAAAATCTTGTTTTTGTTAAAAATGATGTCTGTGATCAACTTTGAGCATCACTATCATGAGACATGGCATATGTTTGATCTGTTTTCAGGTAATTCACTGCCAGATCCAATTTTTTTTTTTTTAAGTGCCTTTTACGTTTGAAGGGTCATATGACCGTGTGGGATAGGTGGCTGGTCAAAATAACATATATAAATAGCATGTAATATAATTTTGACATACATTTTGATACCAGGCTCATCCTACAGCCATGGTTCCTTCTGCTTTTTTAAAAATTATTATAATAACATCAAATGAGATTTGAGAAATTCAAACCATGACACAGCTGAGTGATTGGCAATTTTTCCATTGAATGACCGACCGTTTAGTCAGGAATTAATATTTAATCACTGTATCAGGGTTAAGAAAGGGTCTGTACTTGTGGTCTTACCATCTGTGTGGACGCCCACTATGAGGTAATCTCCCATGGCTTTGGCCTGCCGCAGCTGGTTTGAGTGACCGTAGTGCACCATGTCATAACTGTGGAGATGGAAAGAGGCGACACGTCATCACAGTGGAAAACAATGGATACATTAAGGGCTCAAACAAATGAATAAAAACACAAGTGTGGCCTTGGTAACCAGCACCCTGCAGCTTTAGGCTTTTCGTCTGAAGCCCTGCAGGCTCACAGCATCACTGTCTTTTAAAACAACCTTTCACGACCTTGTCGTGTCTTTTTTTTATTTTGGTGACCTTGCACAGCAGGGGCCAGACAGTGTCTTTAAATCACATGGCCTATATCCATCTAAAAACAAACTGACGGACAGTCGTGGTGAGCAAAAATGCTAAAGGTTACTGGGAGAAAGGTTAGACGGACACAAAGTCTACGATATTCCAGTGTTTATTTGCTTTCTACTATTTGGCAACTTGTGCAGTTAATGTTCTGTAGACTTGCCTTTTAAATAGGAAGGAAATGTGAGCACTCTTTCTCTCTTGCACCATAGTCAAAGTCTCTGCTGATAGTGAAAGGCATAACCTGATTGTGAAACAAAGAGTCGATAATTATGTTTGTAAAGCAAACATGGCAACACCTTAAAGGCCGGTCCGCGAAAATATTGTTGGACATAAACCGGTACATGGCGCAAAAAAGGTTGGGGTCCGCTGCCCTGCAGATCAAACTAGGTCACACTCTTTCATCCTCTGCTGAAAATTTTTTAGAACTCCAATATTCCCCAAAACGCCACTTATGACCTTGAACTGGCCCACAAAAAAAAAGATTTCATCTTTCCAAAGTGGTCCATTTGCCCCCATCTCACCCTATCCCAGCATCCTCCTCAGTCACATCAACCCTAGCATGTCTTCCTTCACTACATCCATCTATGATCTTCCTCCCCCTTTTATTAATAAACTAAAATGGCAAAAAAGGGCCATTAAAGCTTTAAAATAAAGTCCTACGTGCTGCAGGTATCACTGCTGGGGGAAAAAAAGAAGAGGTGGGTGGTTGCTGTCAACTTTTTTACGAAGTTTACAAGAAATTTGACAGATTTATCCATTTGACAGTTTCTGGCAAACTGAACAAAGTGTCTTCACACAGAGATCTTTCATTTCAGCTGCTTATTAATTCAGTTTTGCCCTAAATGTGGCAAACAAACTCCGGGTGAATGGAAGCGCTTTCAACAGAGCACTTTGCTTCACCTTTAACTCTTTGCACCTTAGAAGCATACTTTGAGTAACCCTTGAAGCTCTTTTGTATGTCATATTTTTGACCTGCTTATGGAACAAACTGACTGTGAATGTGGAATCAGAGGGTGTCTATGGAGCTACCTTCTGAAAAACCCGAGAAACTATTCTAATGATCACCAAACCACAGCTTTACTGATATATACTGAGGTGTCAAAACTCGTCATTAAGGTACAGACTGAGATTAAAAGTTAAAAACTAAGACTAAAGGTACTAAAAGTACACAGTTTATGAAGAACTTCTGTTGGCATTTTATCATTTTAACATGAAAATACCGACTGTAAGGAAAAGCTACTCAGCATGCTTCTTCAGCTTCCATTGAAACTAACATTTTTACTTAATGACAACTGAATCTGAGCCTCCCCCCAGCTGTCATCAGGTGAGAGGACAGGGTAAACCCTGGTCGGGCCGCCTGTCCGTCACGAGGCCAACGCACATGGACAACATTTGAATCCCGAGCTCCTATACGCTCATATTTCACCTGTCATTGCATAATTTCTGTGTCTCAGGACATCCACAGGCCCTGCACACCACTCCAACACGCCTCTTCTGCAATACAGCGAACAAAGTGTACACTAGATATTTATAACCACCACATGACTGACTGCCTGAGTGAATCCAGGAGAGAATTTACACATCACAAATGAGGACTCAGCTCTCTGTCCAGCCGCAGCAAGGGTCCAGGCATTTTCCCCACAGCATGCGCTTGTGGCAGAAGAGTTTAAAATCACAACAGACATACGCTTGCTTGTTTTAGAAATAAGTCCCGTCTCTTGCCGTCAGCAAGACAGGCAGCGTAAAGAACTACGTGTCCCTGAGTAAATATACGTTCAAAGCAGCACTCGGCGTTACTCAGTTGATCGAATCAGAAAATAAACAAACAGTTCTGTCAGACCTGCAGGTGCTCGTGACGGGATTCCTAATGGGATAAAGGTGCACGTGTAAAAGAAGGATGACTAATGCTCACTGGGACAGCAGTGAAAAAAAAGGAAAAAAAAGAAAGAGATATTTTAACATCCGTGCAGGCAACACAACTCACAGGTGTTGTGTCTGAGGTTCCTCTGACCTTTAAATAATCAGTTTCACTTCTGTCCAGGCAGAGTTTATTAAATGGGCGTAGGTTTACTTACATTTTCTGTAAGGAAAGTGTGCACCAGTAGGTTTCGATCATGAATGTGGCACCTGTTTACTCTAATGGTAAAGCCAGTTATTTTATTTATAGCCCAGGACTTTATGACTCTGTGACTGGCAGAAAACTGGACACAAATGAAGCTGTGATGACAAACTGTTGGAAAGGCAGCGAAGAAACTTTTTCTAAGACAGATTCAGATCTGCTGCAAGAAGGACAGATGCAGGAAACCTTTCACGCCTCGTGCAGCATCTCTGTACAATGCAACACATCTGTGGCGCAGAGAATCGTCTGTTTGCTACTTTTAACAGTTTAATTCAAGCTTCCTCTGTCACTATACTTTACACTGTTACACTGAGCCGCTTTAAAAACAATGTGACACTTTCTATGCAGGTTAATGTTTTTATTTTGCTTTGCTGGAGTCTTTATCTAATTAAGATATTTATCTTATCATTGTATTTTATACTATTGATCTATATATAATTCCATTCATTTGAAAATATTTTGTTTGTTTAGGTTTGTTGTAAATTACTTTTGTAAATTAAGTCATTACATATTTAAGAAAAGCTAAGATATACTTATTTATTAGTATTTATCATCCACAGTGAAAGGACTTGAGGTGGTTCTTTCCAGACACATCCAGGGTACTCTGGGCATATCGTGCCTGAGGAAAGCTCCAGCTCAGTCTCGGGACACACTGGAGAGATTATGTCGCTCGGGTGACTCAGTAGTGCATCGGGTTGTCCCCAGATGAGCTGGAGGAGGTGGACAGGGAGAGAGAGGTCTGAACATCTCTGCTTAGACTGCTGCTTCCCCTTCCCCTATGACCCAAAACCAGACATTGGAAGGAAGGATAGACAGACAGATGGCATGGATGCTTTATCGATCCAAAAGCTGAGAAGTCACTAGTGCTAGTGCAGTTATTACCAAAGTGTGGGCAGTGAATATACTACAGGTGGGCCAAATAAGCAGGTTTAACATCATCATAAATTGCTTGCGTTTAAATATTAACAATCAAACAAAACCACCGTCGTCATCTGGAAGATATCCTGTCATTACCTTTTAGTAATTATCACAAGTCAAAACCAGTATAGTATGTTCACCACAGATGTCATTCAAGGAAGAAGATTTTCGGGTTTCAAGCCGGGCGAAACATTTTTAACTTTCGTACAGGCTCTCGGTGCTTTTACTTATTCATTAATCGGCTTTTTTTTACTGGGGTACAACAAATGTATGTATTTAAACTGCGTGTGTTGTTCTTGTAAACTTTACCTATACTTCCATATATAAACAAGTACTTTTTCTCTGAACTTAAACGCAGCTCGAGCTCCAAACTTACCAAGGTATGTGTGTCATGAGGAAGACAGACACCGAAAAATGCCGCCCGAGCAGAGGAGAGCAACAGGACGGAAACGATATTAAATTAAACACAATATTGCTATTTTTTTTAAAGGTTAGATATTTTAAGTATCGAGGCTACTTTTCATTTTACAGCAGTCCACATCTCCATAATGATTAACAGCTATTCTGCATGTGTATGATCACCGGAGAAGAAAAACGGTGGGCTCAGAGGTCTAACGTGATGATCCACTCAGGAACAACGCCCAGCTTTTCTGAATGGAGCTCCCCACAACTCAAGCTTATCAGTGAAACACGGGCTCCTTAATAAACGCTTAATAACATTATTGACAACACAGCATTCACCTCTGTTGAACTTCTAGCGCAGTTTAAACACTGCGCATTTCATCATGTAGCATTGGCTATACGTAATACGCTATTTAAGCTGGTTATCGTAGTAACAGATAAGCCCCGGTGCTCAGTTACTAACTGCCAAGCGGCTAGTTAGCAATAGCATGCTAAACCTCCTGTTCCCCTGCTGTTGATTGCATAACAATAGCGTATCAAACCAATAAACTATGGAGAAGAGTTTAATAAGTCCACACTAATAATAAGAACTGGAAGCGGGTACACACACTCACCAGCCATCACACCACAACCGGACCACCCGCTTCCTTTTCTCTGGGCTGCACGCCGAGGATCCCGGTTTCGTGCAGTCGGCTTCTTCACGAGGCTCGCTAGTAGCGTGGTGACCGTTTCTGATCATCTCTGTGGGCTCAGGGGAAACAGCGCAGCGCCAAACAAGTAAAAACGAGAGGAGACCTAAGTTTAGGAGTATCTGGATCGTTAAAGAACACTTCAAATGAAATCCTCCTGTGCGCCTCCTGTTTTCTAACTCAGACTTACACTGAACCGGGTGCCCCGGGCAACGCCTCTAGCACCACGTCACATCGAACCGCTGACGTGCAGATTGCGCCAGGTCACATGTTCAGCGTAACTTTGTGCCCTCGGCAGTAACAAGTACCGCTGTGTGAGAAGCCAAGGGCGCCCACGCTAGATAAGTGATAATACACATTTAATCAACATGTAAACATTCACTGTGTACGTTACTGCTTTTTATATCTTTAAGATTTACAGTGTAATGTCTTGATGCGTGTTCAATCATCCAGGTAAGTAAATCTCCAAAAGTTGATTCTGTTCATCTGGACGTAGCGTTTTTAGTGGGAGAAACGTTTCGTCACTCATCCAAGTGACTTCTTCTGACTGCAGGTTTCCCCAACCTTATAAACACAACATTTGCATAATGACTGAAACCAGCCCACTGAAGGAACAATGGGCTGGGAGGTCAGTTCCTTCATTATAATTATGCAAATTCTCATGACCATTGATCAACAACCTCTGGCAGGCACGTGCAGGGGGGGGCTAGAGGGGCTTGAGCACCCGCCCCTTTCCTGATGGGTGCCCAAAGTGCCCTTTTGTTGAGGCAACTTTTAAAAAAAAAATTATTATTATTTTTTATGTGTGTGTGCGTGCGGAGTCCTGTCTGTGCCCCTCAACAATAATATTTAACTATTAATCACAGTTTTGCTAAATAAAAGGATCTGGCTTGCATCAGTCACATGATCACATTTAACCAATGATCGCCCTTGACGGCAGAACGCGCTGGTTACGAGCCGGGAACGAGCTCACAAAGAGCACGCGCATTTTTAGCGGTCCGGAGCTGTAGGAGAAACACAAGTTAACTCAGAGACACAGACTGATGCGACAAAACCAGTAAGTAGGTGTACAGCGACACTGTAGTGTGTAGCACCCAGGAGTATTAGCTTATTACGTACACGTTGGTAAGTGTCTTGTTGGCAACTGACGAACTGAAACAAACGAGCGTGCTGTGTGTGCAACAGCGCGACAAACATTACCTGTCCTTTTATTAACTGCACAAGTAGTGCTGGTCATAGCTGCTGGCTACCTGGTAACTGTCATGGGTCTGTAGCTCTGTCACCGTTTTAGGGAACATATTTAGTTTTAAAGTATTAGACTATTATTAATTTCCGGGCTTTTCCTGCCTTTCTGGAGGGATTATATTTCACTAAAAAACGATCTAATATGCATGTCCACATAATAATTATTATAATTATAATATATTAAAAAACACACGCTGTATTTTAAAGAACATACATTAAGAAGCAGATTATATTAGATTTATATTTTAAATAAGACAAAATTTGGATTTTACAGCAGTAAAATGATTGTATCTCTACAGTTTAAAAATGTAATAAGCTTTGCCCCTGCACAGAGTGGATAGTGAAACAAATGGAATCATCATAATACATTATTTCATATTTATTACTTCCCCCTCCTCTTTGCTTTATTATTGTAGCTCTAGTAATAAATAATAATGTAAGGATTCTGGATCAGCACCATGATGCCCATAGTATATACAGTATTCTGAAGAAGGTCTAAAATGTCACTGTGTGTGCGTGCATGTGTGTGTTTTATTTAGATGGATTTAAAAAAAATATTACTCATGATATAACATTGTCCAGACATGCGCTGGTAAGGACATGAGGAGGAAACAGCAGGAGCTGTGTGAGGCTACTAAAGGCAGTGCTATAACATTTTTCTGTCATCATTTTATTATAGATTAAGTGCTGGAGTTGTTAGGTGTGGATAATTAGATTATAGTTTATTGCAATAGCAAGTTGTGCCTTGTTCTCACATAGCAAGTGGAGAGTGATATATGAAATGATGGGATGGAAGGAAGAAGAGAAGCAAAGAGTGATTCACAGGCAGAGCCTAAATTATTTCTCACAGTTTTTTGTTGCCTTATGGTTCCAAGCGCTGTCACCAATCTTTGCATTTTGTTATTATCTCATGACACTTGTTTAATCAGCTACCATCTCTCCTATGGACTTTTTAATGTCTACAGTCTCAGATCAACACAGCCCTGCCCTTCCCATATTAGATTCTTGATGAATGTGTGTTGTTGTTATTCAGCCTGGTTCAATGTGCCCCTTTTTAACTTTGAGCACCCGCCCCTTTAAACCTCTCTGCACGGCCCTCTGGCGAAGCGGATGGCACAACACAGAAGAGCCACCTCGTCAGGCCAGGACGCAGTCTATTTACACCTACAGGCCAGTGGACACTTTCAATGATGAGGATGTAAACATCCTGGACAGGGAGGAAAGCTGGTTTGAGGGCAGACTCAAGGAGTCCATTTACGTGAAAAGGGAAAGACCATCTCTGAATCGAGGAGGGGGACTAAGGGTACATCTTTCGCCATCTTACAATTGCAGCCATTCCCCCAACTCTCTGTGAATGGTACTCATGGCCATTGATCAGTGGAAATGGTCTCAGTGGAAGTGGGATTGTATTAAGAAAGGAAGTGAAACATGGAGAAAAAGCTGGTTTTCAGTGGCAACAGGTCTGATGAAGTGATGAGTCCAAATACGATTGTTTTTATTTAACCAATCAGCAGTATGTTCAGAGGAGCTCAGGAGAGAGGTACAGTTTGCCTATCTGGGAGCACTTTTGCTGACAGTGTGTTTGACAGCGATGAATGGATTGGCCTCCTGCACCTCAATGTTATTGAAGCAGTATTTTGGGGGAAGAAAAATTTTGCCCAAAATCGCCATGAAACATATTTTACTGGGATAAAGATATTAGTCATACACCACTTCACATCAGCATTTGCTTAGAGAGTTCAGGCTGTGCTGAAGAATAAAAGTAATCCTACTAAATATGGACTTTCAAGCTCATTAGAGTTGTACAAATTGATTTTGGATTAGATACAGCATTTTCATTTCTGTTTGCACCCATTTCCTATTTTGTATAGAATTATACATAACCTACAAAGGCAATAGGATAAGTTAGAGCACCAAATCAGATATAGTTTCTTTATTTTTATCAAACAAATGGTAGCAGAAAGAAAATTCATTGCATCATGATTTATTTTCTCACAAATACATCTTTGCGTGTGAGAGAAAAGAAATGCAGCAAAAACCAACGAGGCTTCACATTCAGGTTTAGCACTGGTTTGAGTTTTAGGAATGCCGACACTAGCTTATCAAAGACAGCCTGCACTTTTTTTAATAATGTGTAACCCTATACCAGACATGATGAGACTGTTGACACTAAAGGTTCTTCCTGAGATAAAATAACAGACACAATGACTCTGGCTGCTGTTTCCAATCACTTAAGCAAACAGTAATTTAACTCAAAACTCAGCTTACCTTCCTATACTGTAAACAAAAGTTATTTTTTT